AGAAAGGTGAATAATATGTATTTTAATACATAAAGTTCTAGTTGGCATGTATTCAAATAATATTGTATAAGCTCTGAATAGTTCGATAAAGGTTTTGAATAAGTTATATGTAATAATAAATTTTAAATTACTCACTATTTTATACAAGTAAAGGTTTTTGAAAAGTCAATGTGACACTTCGGACTCGGATCTGGGTCGGATACGGGTTGGGGGTGTTACAATAAGACTGTGCATGATATGTATTATATGTTATGTGATATATATATATACATGATGATGATTTCTGTGTCTATATGAACATATGATATAAGTCATGTGATATAATGAATGTGAAAATGGGACAATGAGATATGAAACTATATGAAAAGATTATATGAGCTATGTGAAAATAAGTGATGGGATTACATGATCATAAGATATAAGCTATATGATGAGAATGATATGACAAGAAGTTGTAAAAGTATATGTCTATGTGATACTGATACGTATATGTGAATATGTGATAAAAATAATATAATGCCCATGTTATGTGAAATGAGGGCTAGATGTATAATTGGCATGCTAAGAGTCGAGGGTTCTACTTGGTCCTTCGGGATATATATGTAATCCTTTGGAACATATATGTAGTTCTTCGAAACACATATTTTGTCCTTTAGAATATATATGTAGTCCTTAAGGAGTGGTTCTTCGGGACATATGAGTTATATGTGGTCCTTCGGGACATCTATGTGGTCCATCAGGACATTTCTACGCGGTCATTCGGGACAAATTTCATATGCCACTAAGTGGAAATTATACGAGCTGTGGTGACAGCATATGTGCACAACCTCTATGTACTCACATATATTTAGTTCTCAGAAGTATACATGGGCTAATAAAGAGATAATATGATTGTTATATGTGATTGAGTACTTGAATATGAATATGTAGGTTACATGTATTGCGTCTGTTATATTATCTATGTGAAAATATGTTTGTATAATATATTTGAATATAAGAGATTAAAGTATAAGTTATATGATATATAAGTGATTACATGAGAAATGTTATGAGCTCTATAAGTATATGTATAGGTAATGAGGTGGTTGACTATATGATTGTATGAATATAATAATAATTATGATCGTACTGTGTTAATATACTTTGTATGTGAACTAGTATAATGGACTTATATGATTAAATGAGAATTGAGATAAAGTAAGTAGTATTGAATTACAGGATAATGTGAGAATAATATATCAACTAGGAAACATGTACATAATAAGTATAAGAATATAATAGATAAGTTGTATAAGAAGGTCTATAGGTTTAAATGAAACTATGATCTAAAACTTGTTAAATTCTTAGGTGATATGAAATATAGTACAAGGATTCAGGAAATCATATGATAATATAGGAATTAGGTAATAATAAGTTATGAAAATATATATCTAGTTGACAAGCTATATGTGAAAATGAATAGTAGAATATAAGAAATTAGTATACAAGAATATGATATAAAATATGTAATGAGAATCTATGGGATAGATGATAAATAGGAACATATGTAAACAAGAGATAAGATATGGGACATTGTGATAGAAATTGTATGATCATGAATTATGTAAATAAAATGATCTAAATGATAACAGAAGAATGTAATATAAGTTATGTGGTAGATATCAATGAGTATGGAAACATGAAATAGTATATGATCATATATGATATGATGATATGAAATGATGCTAAAAATGAAAATGATGATATATGTGTATGTATATTTGGTACATGAAAGGGTATATGAGGTTGATATGATAGTATGAAATATGCATGCATTGTTAGGAGTTATAGTTTACATTATATGTTTTATATGCCTCACTAAGTCATAGACTTAATGTGTGAATGTTTCACACGTAGGTTTTGAGAAGATTAAAGAGCAAAGAAGAGCAAGACATGTTAGCCTCTCCTTTCCGAAGATCAGATCAGAAAAGAATTTTGAATCATATGTATTTTGTTATAGGGGTGTTCGCAGTCGGTTTGGATCGGTTTTTGGCTAAAAATTCATCCGATCCGAAAGTATAAATTTTTGCGGTTTGGATCGGTTTGGATGTTTCTAAAAAAAATCCGATACGATCCGATCCAATTAAGTGCGGTTTGATTCGGTTTGGATTTGTGCGGTTTTTGGATTCTAATTTTTCAAAAACAGTTTCACCATTTCACATCCTAAGCTAAAGTCGATCGAATAAACACCGTTGATGAACATAAAGGTAACAGTAACACTATCAGCTCCCAATAACCAACCAGTTTGGGATATTGCTTCTTTGCATTACAAACGACAACAACCTGATAAAAATATCTAAACAAGTCTTACAGCGTCAGACAACCCTGTAATGATGGCAGCAAGGATAATTCCACAAATTTCTGTTCTCTTTACCGATGCAATAACAAGGAAAATTAATCTCAGGCCTTTATTTACAGACATGTTTGAAACCACAGCCAGTCCATGATGGACTGTCCATAATGGTTAACTCTCCCTGGAGTTTTAATGTGTTGTAAGGTTTAGTTAAATTTAAGGTATCTTACCTGTGGAGCTTAAGACAGGAACTTGTATGTATCCAGAGCATACCGAACCAATGCTTCATTCTCACCAGGATTGATTGTACACCTAAACATAACATGATGTGAAAATTATTCAAGACTAAAATCAGTTTAAATCTTCCATCACTTGATAAAAAAAACAAATGAACAAGTGAAGTATGATAACACTAGAAGCACAAACTACGAATCTCAAAAACATCATCTAACCTTAGAAGTTAGGTTCACAAAATAAGGATCCAGTAAATAACAACTAATTACCTCAAAACTTTATTAGAAAGCACACTCAGCCAATCAGAAATGCATAATGCAAGCAACATAAAACATTTATAGTCCTATTATGAGAAGAGTAGATTGATAAATTATGAAAGCAAAAATATAAAATTCTCCTAAGGAAACAAACTAACGTTGAGTACACAAGGACTCCACCAGGGCAAACCAACTGAACAGCCTGATCAAACATTCTCCTTTGATATTTCGCATGGTTTCTTAATGTCTCAATCGTTTCCTGTATGCAAAGAAAATCAACATGTTTCATGTAGTTTTCATATGCATGATAGAACCTGCAGAGAAAAATAATAGGCCCAACAATACAGAAATCAACCAGAAAAAACAAAAAAACCTTCAACAATTCTAAAACAAATCATACTCGAAAAACAGAACAGAATCAAATCACGGTAACATACCAGCTGGTTTTGAGTATCAAGAGAGCAGATTTTTTGGATTTTCTTTCCTCAGAGTAGAATCTGATTAACTTGATTGAAAGCTTAATGGAAAAAATAAACGAGGAGGATGAGAACATTGAGAAGAGGCAGAGTCTAAACTCTAAAGTGGGCTAGGGTTTGAACTTGAAAGTTGAAACGGTGTCGTTCATACTTAATTGTAAGATATATCGGTTCGGATCGGATCGGTTCCGGATTTCTAAACCGAAACCGAACCGAACCGATCGGTTTTTTTAAAATCCAAATACACTAAATCGGTTTCGGTTTTTTTCGGTTTTCAGTTTTTTTGATCGGTTTTCGGTTAATTTTTTGGATCGGATTGGATTTGAACACCCCTATTTTGTTATATTAAATGTAGTTGACATGTATTAAAAGAATTGAATTGAATATGCTCTGATATTTTGTAAAACTAATTGTTTTTTTAATTAATGTAAAATATTCATTTTCTTGAATTGTGAATTTAAATTTTAGCCAATTTATAAAGAAAAATATTTTGAAAAGTCAATGTGACACCTCGGACTCGGATCCGGGTTGGGGTGTTACACTTTGCAGGAGCATTGTGACTAGCATTGCCCCTCCTTTAGCTCACGTCGTGCCTCCATCATCACCACCACTGCCACCACCATGATGTGTTCAGCTTCGTGCATTTGGCAGCCAAGATATGGCACTTGTGAATCTCCATCATAACAATAAACAATGTACCAAAACCAACCCGACAACTTGGATTTATTCCAACGAGTTGTATCAAGTTTGCAGCAATATTCTCATTCTTCCAACAAAGAAAATTACCTCCTCTACTTTTGCTTTCTGATATGTGCATTTCCTTATCACCACCACCACCTTGGGTACAGCTTGCTTCCCAATGAAATTCGGTAAAAACTTAACCACGTTTGTCATGTTCTCCTGATTTTTCTCCTTTTGCCTTGAGATAAGTTTAACGCAAATTTCCTCCATGCAAATCTGTTGCCACCAACAACTACAATGGGACAGTTCCTTCACGTGGCCAGCTGGACCCGCATATGGTTATCACCGAAGTCGACATGCTTATCTCCCTTCCCAAGAACAAACATGCATGGCATGATCATCGCCACAACCTTCTAAAACTGTGGCCCACTCTGACCCGACATGTTCACTCTACGGCTCACATCGAAGGCGATGTGAAGTTGTTGCTGAGACTAAAGAGTGTTTACTCAAAGAGCAGTCAATGACTTTATGTATGGCCATGGCCACCAGGATAAGTAGGACAGCACATTTAAGAAACATGGGGCTTTAAACTGGTTTATCATTACATCCGGCAATCATAGTTGGCCCGCATGTCGGATTGACTAGGCCTTGCCGACGACATGGCACACGGGACACTCGAGAGTAGAAGGCTTACAGTTGGTTGACTGATCGATTTGTAGGCCGCACACTGTGCTATGATGGGTAATAGTGGGTGAACAAAGGTGAAGGGTAAGGTAAAGCATGAATAGGATGGATGATGCATGTGAGGCATAAATGACAATTCACTTTCAAGATAGTTTTGGGGTAGCAGACAAGCTTTTGAAATAACTCTGCCTTATCTTCTTAGTGTGGGACATGATGGCCTATGACCCGAGCTTGGGGACCAAGGCCAATCGTCTGTCACCCACCACATGTTCATATCTCAAGCTGATTATGTTGTTATAAAAAGGGCTTCAAGATCCTCCATAGCCACTCAAACTCAAAACAGAGAACTCACATTACTTGCAGATATTACCAAAAGAAGAAGCTTTTGATTCAGGTGATTGGATAGTGAGATGAAGGACCGATCATGGAGAAGGTGCTCAAAGCAAATTAGAGAGCAGAGGGGAAGGCTTTATATTATATGGAGATGTGCTGTGTTACTCCTTTGTTGGCATGACTAGATGCTTTAGAGTTGTATAGTTTTGTTCCTCAAAGCTTTTCTCTTTGTTTGTAGCATGGGAAAAAACCAGAATTCCACAGGTGATTTGATTTCACAAACACAAACAAAGGCCACATATTTGTTAAAATCAAGCTTTGCATCATTCCTCTGGTGACGCCCATTATATATTTTCAGAATATTTAAAATAGAACCACTCGTAACAGAGAAGTAAGCAAGGTTGGTAGCTGTTGATCTCAAAGTAAGTTATGGCATAGAGAATTCATCAACTAATTCTCTGTCATTTAAGATGTCAAAATCATTGAACAAATCCATTTATGTAGCCTCTGCTTTACTCAATCTTGTCGACAAACCATTCCTCCAATTACAGAAAAATTATCTGGGTTTCATTTCAATCCACATTTTGTTCAAAACTTGAACCTGTGTGAGCTCATCACGTCCCTGCTTAAAAAAACAGAAATGAAAGCTTTGATATTTTACCCAAAAACGCCCTTGAAAAATTTTACTTGTATTTTTCCTAGAGGTGTTTATGGATCGAATCAAATCGAATTTGAGTACATGATTAAATTTTATCTAAATCCTTTCATATTTGTGTATACGATTAATCTAAATTCATTTTCAACCTTTTATATTATTTTTCATCTCTTCAAATATTTATTTCATTTGAAATTTAATATTTAATATATTTTACACTATTAAAATTATTTTTAACTCTTTCCTGAATAATTTAATATATTCTAATATTAAAAGTATAATAATATATATTGTTATAAGTTTAATTTTTATATAATATAAAGTTTTTAATGCACTAAAATAAAATAATAAGTATATTAAAAACACACAAAATAACAAGAGTTGAGTTGAGTCATAACTGTTAGATTCTAAGTCTAATTCATAAATTAAACTGGTCTAATTTTTTAAATTTATTTCTTGGGTCTAATAATTTTTCAAGTTCTTTTAAATTTAAATTTTAGATAATTTTTTTAATTTAAACAAATAACTTAGTTTATGAATTAAGTCTAAATTTTCATTTGTCAGGGTTTGGGCCTTTAGGGTGCGAGTTAACGTACCTTTTATAACATGAATCAAACGAATTTGGTGTTTAAGAAATTGTTGTTATTTTTTTAGATTCTAGGTTTGAGTACCAGAAATACTAAGGATGTAAACGTTTAATGTCAAATGGTTAAGAGATATCTTTGAAATATTGTCTTGTATTTAACTAATGTTAATAAAAAAAAGAAAAATAACTTACCTTAATCAATGACCTTATTTTTTTCACCAATTTCTTATGGAAACTGAATACTGAGGGCTTAAAAGTAGGCCTGTAAATGAACTGAACGTTCAACGAACCGTTCATGAACCGTGCGGCGGGAAGTTCGTTTATGTGCGTTTATTTATTAAATGAACGAACATGAACAAGATTTTTTGTTCGTTTAATTAAATGAACAAACATGAATATAGGTCTCGTTCGTTCATTTACGTTCGTGAACGTTCGGTTATGTTCGTTTATGTTCGTTCGATTATGTTCGTTTATGTTCATTCATTTATGTTTAACACAATCTTCTTAAATAAATTTTGGTGACCAATTTGTAAGTATCTTAAATATTAATCTGATATTCTGATGACCAACTCCATAATTAACCCAATTTTATTTGGAGATTAAATCCAATATGTTAACCTGTGAGGCACCTCGCACTTATATTCATTTTCCCCCTTTTTTCCCAAACCTTATTGTTCACTGGAGAGTGGAGACGATCTCTGAAAGATTCAAAACAAGTTATATTATAGTGCAATATGAAGTTTTACAGGTCTGTTTTCATCTCTTTCTCTGTTTTATTTGACTTAATAGTTGCTATGTAAAGTTATTGTGGGTATCTTCACATCTAAAACTCAAGAAAACATCATACTTCTTTCTAGAAATAGATGGGAAGATAAAGGTAAAAATCGGAAGTATATGAGCATTAGTAAAAAGAAAAATATATAGAATTTGCCAGAAAACAAAACAAAGGTTTCTATGCAATTTCTGAAAAAGAGTGTAATAGCGGAAAATGATTGTTCATATGTAATCATGGAACACTAAGATAAATGTTATAGCGTTAAATTAAAGTCGTGTGAATCATTTAATATCTTTAAAAGATCGATCGAAATATTTGATATCTTCAAACATTTCATCACTGCTAATAAGCTCTTACGCTATTTATCACTGTAGATTTGGTTGATTTGCATTGTCGACTATTTTTCATGAAAGAACAATGGAAGGTAGGGTCTCCAACGTTTATGTTCGTTTATGTTCGTGTTCATTTATGTTCGTGTTCGTTTATGTTCGTGTTCGTTTATGTTCGTGTTCATTTATGTTCGTTAAATAAACGAACATGAACAAGTTATATTCCTTAATAAACGAACATGAACAAAAAAAAATTTGTTCGTTTATTTTTTAAATGAACGAACATGAACATACCTTCGTTCGTGTGCGTTCGGTTCGTTTACAGGCCTACTTAAAAGCACCACTTCGTTGGTCGGGCTGCTCTCCGCTTTGGACTGGTTTGAATTTAGTTTGGAATGATGTTAGGGAAGGAATTGGTTAGACTTTAGAGCATTCGGAATAGTTCGAGTGTTGACTTCTGGAACGATACCTGGATTGAGGGTCTGGGTCCGTTGAAGCATTGGTATCTTGACCCAAGTTCTTGGGAGGGTGTCAATCTTTCTGTTAAGGAGCTGGCAGAGAATGGAACTTGGCAGTGGCACATATTGGAGATGTTGTTTCCTGCTTTGGTTCTCTCCCATATTGCAGCGGTCAAGGCCCCTGTTGACGATGGGTCGGATGATGTCCCGATTTGGAGATTGGGTAGTCAAAAAAGATTTACGGTAAGGAGCGCATATGGCAAGCGAAATGCAGGGCTGGCCACTACCGGCTACCGCCCAGCCGATGGAGTGGAGACCGATTGTGGGTTATCGCGGGTTACCGCGAATCAAGTTGTTTCTATGGATTTTGTTTCGAGATAAGTTAATTACGAATGAGGAACGTGGACGAAGATATATGACGACGGATACTCATTGTGAAGTATGTGACGCTGGTGTCGAATCTAGCTTGCATGTTGTCCGGGATTGCTTCGCTGCGTGCATTGTGGCAAGCTGTGATTAAACCGAGTCGCCTCTTGGAGTTCTACGGTTTACCCTTACAAGAATGGATCACTAAGAATATAAATCAGCCGAGTTATTTCCCTCTTGATTCGGGGGATTGGGATTTGTTGTTTGGCGCTATCGTGTGGAATCTTTGGTGTCGTTGGAACCGTATTCTTTTTTATCCCAGCTTTGTGGCTGACGTAAGTATTTTAGTGCAAAACAACCATGTTAAAGCTGAAATGGCTCAAGCGGTGGTTGCTCACAATGGAGCTGGGATGGTCTGGTGCCAGGTAGTTGATCGCGCGTCTCCCTGGAGCCGTCTACCGGTTGGTGTGTTCAAAATTAATACAGATGGTGCGTGTCGGAGTAATAATGGAATTGCCACGTGTGGGGGAGTTATTCGAGATCATGCGGGGCGCTGGATCTCGGGTTTATCCAAAAGAGTCGGGCATTGTTCGCCTCTTGAAGCTGAGCTATGGGGAACCTATGAAGGTTTATCTCTTGCTCGGAGGCTGGGTTTGGATTCAGAGTGTGTGGAATCGGATAGTAAATATGTTATTGATGCGATCAACGATCGTTCCAGGAGGCCCGTAACTATGGCTTTGGTTTATCATATTCGGAGGTTCACGGATCCGAATTGGAGGATGGAGTTCAGATATGTGCCTAGAGAGAGGAATCGGGGGGCGAATGGCTTAGCGCATTTGATTGAACCAAGTAGTTCTGCAATTCACATTTACCAGCTTCCACCGGAGTCTGTTGTTGGTCTGGTGCAGAAGGAAAGCAGCGGCTGCATGGAGCAGGATCGTCGTTACTAGCTTCTTTGCTTTCTTTCACTCAAAAAAAAAAAAAAGCACCACTTCATTCTTTTAGAAACGAAACAAAATTATTGAAAAATATTTTATAATAATTTAATAAATTCTAATTCTCACTATCAGTATAATAAACTACAAATTATCGTTGAGAAATATTTTACAAGATCGTAAACAAAAGGTTTGTCCCATTGTCGTGGAAGACCACCAACCAAATTTCAGGCTGTCGTAATTTTCTTGGAGAAAATTTATTTTATATATATATATTGAGATTATGATGTGAGATAATTTTTTTCATTAGTTTAAGGTGAGTATAAAATATTATTGATTTAGAAGTAAATTTAAAATTTTTAGATAAAAGAATATTTCGTTCTATTATTAATGTCGAATAATTATTTAAATATTAATAATAAATAGAATTGAAATAAAAGAAACTTTTAAACAGTCTTGAAAAATTATAATATTAACAAAATAACATTAATGGACATACAACAGGGTAAATCGCACTAAATGAGTGAAAGTGAATAAATAAACCCATTGAGAAACCTAAACTTTATCCGCAACTTCAAGAAACAGTATCCTCATTCTCTTTGCCATGCTTATTTCCATATTCTTTTTGCCCCTGAACAAATCTTAATAATATAAGAAAGAAAGCAACAAGTTTATGAATGAACCCAGTATAAATTGAACTATATACAAACTATGCGGACATACTAAAATCCCATCAAACTTCCACTTCACATTACCTAAATAAGGCAAAATAAGAATAAGGAAGGCTGAGATATAGAAAATGGCTAAGGTGGCGATCATGGCAATATTATTCCTCTTCTCATTGTTTATGCTAGCCATGCCTAATACCCTGCCACGGGTGAGTGCACCACCTCGTCCACTTTGTGCTTCTCAATTTAACATAGTGAACTACGCGTGCGGAGGGCTTCCGTTATCGCCGTTCTCGCCTCCGCCATCTCGCAGGAACACTCACAGTAGTAGTAGCAGCAGCCACAGTAGTCGGAGCAGCCACAGTCGTCGTAGCAGCAGTAGCAGGCACAGGCGTAGGCACCGGCAACGAGGGGAGGACAGGCAGGACTATTGTTGTCAATGGCTGAGGCAGGTGGACAACGAGTGTGTGTGTGACGTGCTGGCTCACTTGCCTCCTTTCCTTTCCAGGCCTAATCATCACTACACTGTCACCGTTGGTGATACCTGCACCATCAGGTTTCCATGTGGAGGCCGACTAGTACCATAATTCAACCATCCTTCTGCCTTTTTGCTTAACTCTATGGAATTGAAAATCTGTTTAGCAGATAATAATTTTTTATAGTTTTGATTTCGAATTCTTACGATGATGTCCAAAAGGTAAACCTTCAAAATAATAAAAAAAGGTTTAAATATATATTAGGTGTATGAACTAATCACTTTCACTC